GCTGACCCCCAGGATCTCTTGCCTACCAGGGCTGCTCTGACCCAGCTCAACATGCTACAGTCCCGAGCACGTGTGCAAATGGCACACCCAGAGCAAAAAACTGGAGCAATAAGCTTATTGCTCCAGAGTTTATTGCTTTGCATTATATGCAAGTGTAGATACACCCACTGCTTCTCAAGCAAGTCCACACAGTTTTCTGCTGATGCATCTAGTTTCCAGTTCCCATGCTGATGTATGAGAACCTGTAAGTTGGTGGGTTCAGGATGCATTGAGGCTTTACTTCCTACTACAAAATGTTTCTAGCGACTGGTCTATTATCTGATGTTACAAGGAAAATTCTTTAAAAGGATTATGGCCACAGAATTAAACTTTTCAAAGTAATTCCTTTAATCAGTCTTTGATGGTGCATTATCTAAGAATCATTTCTTATTATTTAAGAATGGTTAATTTCATTCCCGAATTTCAAGGCAAAGTGTTTGAGCTGGATTTTTGAAAGATTAGGAAAAAAATAGGAACATCTTAACTAAAAAGAAGACCATAACAACTGTGAGCATTTAGGCTCCTAATACCATTGTCCAGACGAACAAGTAGAGGTGGTTAGCTGAGTTAGTCTGTCGTCAGGCAGAAGGCAAGGCAGGGTGGCACCTTAAAAACTGACTCATTCAGAAAGGCATAAGCTTTCATAGGTGGCAGTCTGTTTCAGAAGCATGTGACAAAGTAGGCTGGTGCCTCTGAGACCCTATGCCCCTCTGAATATGTTGGTATGCCTTCTGGCACAAGAACAGATGGACACTAGAGATGGATACTTTTGTGTCTGGTAATGATAACTGGCCCAATTTTGCTATAACTGAACTGGGGCTTTTGGTAGTAAGATACATGCAAGACAGATTTCTTAGTATCAAGGTCTAGTCCAGGATTAAATGCAGAAAAAAGGTTATTTACACCATCAAAGGTATTCAGGTGTGTTAAAATCATTTGACTTTTGTGTCACCAAAGTCCTCCTTTTTCCTAAAAGAGTTTTATTTCATAATAATGGGGCATTGTACAGCTCTGGGTGAAATCTTGATAAGACTAAATGTTTTCAATACAGTTTGGTCTTGTTTTTCTAGTCCTGAATACTGATTCTCATAACAGAAAAAATAGTGCTCTTCTAGTTAAATGTCTGTTCTCCTCACCGAACCATTATATCAAGGCACCTTTATCATTGCTGATTAAAGCAGGAAGAAAATATTTAAGAAATTGAACACATACCAATTAGTATGTACAGCTGATGGGCACATTAAGAGAATTAAAGTATAAGCTTGCCACTGTGCTGACAATTTTTGCTCAAAAGTTACCAAGAACTTGGTACTGAAGGATAGAAAACAAAAAAAGGTCATAGCAATTTTCAAAAGGAGTGATTCTAGCAAATGCCATCTTCACCATACCTTAATGTAATGCATTGTGTCCCACATGGTCTGCCTGCTGGATCTGGCCTGTGGAGCTGTGTGATCCACCCATGAGTATCGGACCAATCCTGCATGCCACATGCAGTGTACAGGGTTGTACATTACATGTGACACCTGTAGATGAACCCTGCACGCTACTTCCAGAGCTAGTCCATATCAAGCCATTCCAGAGCCAGCACACAGGACTGGTCTTGTGGGGTGCGACATGCAGTGTGCGCCTCATCCCAGCCCACTGTGCCATGGGCAGGACCCTGCTCTGGGGCTTGCACTGCCTGCAGCACATGGGCTGGACCCCGTGCTATGGGCACAGTCCACAGCACTGGAGGCCAACACAGCACAGGCACTACATGCAGTGCCCTGCCAGACAGGCTCTGCACACTGTCTCCAATGCACATTGAGAGCCTGGGGCCCAAACTGGACTTGCCCTAGAGCTAGTGAGTAGGGCCAGTCCGGCAGGGCATATTCAGTGTGCATGCCATGCCAGTTCCCTGGTCTGTATGCAACACCCGCACTGCAAGGTCCAACCCACACACCGCCTGTAGTGCAGGCCCTGGTGTGGGGCCAACAAGTGCTGTACAGAGCACAGGGGACCAGCACAGGAAGATGCTGCATTAGGCACCCTGCCAGACCAGCCCTGCATGCTGCTTCTGGTACAGCCTGATCTGGCACACAGCCAGACCCAGAGATCCTCATCTAGTCACACAGCTGGATAAGTTTATATAATGCAATAAAAAGTGTGTGAGAGGAAGATTTGTGAACAACTAGAGAAAAATGGAACCATGAGTAGGAGCCTACCTCACTCGAGGGCATGGCTGGCTGATTTTGTTTGGAGGTTGTGGGGCCAGCCACCATATTCATGAGCTGATTATGGTGGCCCCTCCTTCCCCCTCCCCCCCACACCTCTAGCTGAGGGGCCCTGGCAGCCCTGCTCCTCACCACTGAATGGTTGCAAGGGCTGTCTGTCATGTGGCCCCACCTCTTGCTGCTGATTGATTGACAGGGGTCGGGCCACATGATGGGCAGCCCTCTCAGCAATGCCAGATTTTGCAATTTCTGTGAAATCGCAATTTTGGTAGGTCCCTAACTGAGCAACAGAGCTGGTACAGTGTGTTAAATCTTGTCAAATATTATTCCTGTTTTGATGGAATAAAAATCAGTCACTGAAGTATGTAGATATTCTCTGCATTTCACAAACATTTTTATATAATACGTTGCCAGTTGTACATTCAAGTATGTTTAAAATGGGTTTGAGCCTTGACATAAGGGAGTAATATCATTTTTGTGAAGGATTAATCAATGGTTGATGGTAACTCATTAACTCGGCGTTGGGATGTCCATCTAGCCTGTAGTTTTCATTACTTCATATGGTATTTAATATCTTCATTAATTTATAGTTAAGTGTGTAGGTCAACATATTCATTAATTAGAAAGGGTAGCTTGGTCAAATGGCAAGGGTAGCGAACTGGAATCCCAAGGACCAGCGTTCTGCTTCCAGGTGTTCTAGTCATGTGCCATAGAACCCAGAGGCACATCAGTTCACTTCCTACATCGTTAAGTTAGTATCATAAAATAAATGATAAATTATGCGTTTGCATTAGGTATTGGACGAACTAGCTAACAGAAATAATATGGGCGGAGGTATAACATAGAAAAAATAATAAAAAATGTATTATAACTTTAAAAAAAAACTTGAGCAAAAAGATATAAGACAACGTCTGAAATGTTGGAAGGCAAAATCCTAAAAAATAGCAATGCCAAAAAGAGGCCTTGAGAGCAGATAGATGTGAGTGTATAATTCAGTAAAGTAGTTGAAAAAAACAGGGTAGCTCAGGTCCTAGACAGATACAACATTTGAAGAGCTTCAGGCTTTTTTGAAGTGCTTCACAGGGCAAGTAGACAGACATAGATGGCAAATATTAGCTCATAATATACAGTGGAATGACACTTCTACAATCTGTATAATATGTACTATTTTCAGTCTACTGTGGCGAGACATATTAGATGCTAGTGAAATATATAGCTCTAACAATAAGTTTGGTGATGTTAAACTCCAAATAGATAACCAGTTATTTTTTTTCACTTCTGTGAAGTTAAATCTTCAGCTTTTATAATGCATTATAATATATTAGTTCTATGATAAATAATGCAAATAGAAGCCCAATAGGATTTCTTTATTATTGATATAAGGACACTTATGTATTAAAGTAAGGATATATATTTTAAAAACACTATTTTGAGATCATATGCAAACTTTTAATTATGAGTCTTTTTTGAAATATTCCATTATTACAACAAAAAAATTGGCTGGCCTAAAACTTGTACCTAATCTTATCTGCATATTCTTGCTTACTTGATGTACATGAAAAAGTAGTTGTGATATCATGACAGTTCAAGAAATATGTAGCTATTGATATGACTGGCAAAAAAAAAAGGAAATACATGTATTCCCTTTTTTTTTAATTAAATTATTTGCCAAATTAAGTTTTTGTTAATTTTACTAGATATTGAGATTTAAAAGATAGGAACCCGTGCCATTTTTACAGTTGTTTCGTTTGCTTATCCTGCATGTGATCTCTTCAAGTTATCCATAGACTGAAACTAATTTTTTTGTTTAAATATAAAAGGGAAAATTAACCTGGTGTTCAATATTTTTTCTTTATTTTTTTTTTACCAGACCACTTTGCTCAGTTAACAAAGAATTTTTTATGTTTTTATTTATTTTTAAGTTTTTGTATGTTGTTGCTACACCTGACTTCTTTATTTGTTTTTGTGTTATGCTAGCATTGGTTTGAAAAGTGGATTGCTCTGAGGTTTGTGTCTTTTACATGTGAGACAGGAATGAGAAATGTGAAGGACATGTCTTGTTTCCCCACTGTACGTGATCTGTCGGGTACACACAATGGGCTGATATTGTAAAGTTAACATCTGAAATGTTTAATACGCTCTTTAGGGTTATTGGTTGTAGCTGTGTTGGTCTAAGGACAGACCTGCATTTTGGCTTCTATTCCACCCAGGAGAGCACACAGAACACCAACAGACACTTCCTATGCCTGAAAAGGGGTGTTTGTGCCTGAAAGCTTGCAAAGAACAATTTCCCCAACTATTTAGTTGGTCTAATAAAAGATACCACATTTACCCAAAGAACCATAATACACGCTTTAATATTTCACTGCATGGCAACTCACTGTCTGTCTTGAATGTTTCATGAATATAGTTAATGCTTTAGAACAGAAAACTCAGAACATAAATTGCATAAACCCCCAGTCTAAGACATGACCTCTTAATTTAACTCATTTCTGTGTAACAGTCAAAAAATAGTAGTGGGTTTTGTGACCTGTGTGTGTGTGTGTATATATACACTTAACACACACGTGCGCACGCGCACACACATACATGCTCTTGGGGTAAGGGAGCATAATTATCAGTTTCAGTTACTCTAGCAGTAACTCTGTTTTGGATAGGACAGAATTAAGCATTCAGTGTACTGTACTCTACAATATTTTTATACAAACTGTTTTTATTGAATTTTATGCATATATTGTTCTTTTGCAGTTCTTTGTCCTACATGAAGAGGACTGCTTTTCTTCAGAAGTAACCATGCTCCTTCCTCTGACAAGAAGTACTCCTTGAACAGTTCATAGTATTTTTCTTTTTATTTGGCACTGTATCTAAACATGTATGTATTTACTTTCTGTGTCTGTCTGAACAATGGGCATGATGACTGAACTCATCCATTTTAACTTAATAGTGCAATGTACTTGAGCATAGAACAAACACTGTACAGTTTTACTCACAAATGTTGTTTTGGCTTTTTAAAATCTATTTTTACATTGTACAGCATGTAGTAATCCCTCCCACACCTTTTATTGGTGTGAAAGGGAAAAAAAACTTTAAATAATGTAAATAAAGTAAGCTTATAGTTTTAACTAATTTACCGTAAAATCATCCTTGTTTCCTATATCGAACATACAAGAGGGATCACAGCCAAACCGGCACTAGAAGAGTCTATGGAAGTTCTTCAGTGGATACCCCAAAGCATTGGAAACTAAAACTGAGCACTTTTTTAAAGCAGTAATGTGGATTAAAACAATGATATAGCATTGTTCAGGCATTGAGCAAATTTTACAAGGCTTTGACAGGAAAAAAGAATCACAATGTGGCTGCAGCCTTTACTCACTGCTTGATTAATCTGAACATCAAAACATTATGTAATATTTATGTAATTAATTTCCTTTTGTTTTTAGTCTTCCACTGTTTTTTAATCATGACACAAGAACTTCACAAGGTTTTATGTGAAAGGATTGAAAAAGTCAGCTTAAATTCCCTTCAAGTATTATGTTAAAACTTTTCATTATTTTGTACCTGTAAGATTTCTTACAAATCTTTTTTTCTTAATTCTCAGTCTGGGAAGATGATGTACCTGCACCTAGGTATCATTGATGAGAGCATATTTTAAAAATCTTATTAAAGGTATAAAATCATACCTTTAAAATCATTGATGATTTTTGTCAAACCTATAGATTAAATCAGTGATCTGAAAGGAAAAGTAAAATACTAACATAAAGAGATAAAGTGGTTCTTTAGGTTTCATTCTTCATTTATTATGCATATATTTTGTGGTAGACTTGAAGAGATAGGGACTTTATAGCAACATAGGAAGTTTTGCTTATAAGCAAAGATTTTTCTTAAGAATTTGCTTCCATGAAAAAGCCTTGGTGAGAGAGAACCTGTAAAACTTCCTACAATGCAGTATTTTTACAATCTGTTTATTAATACCATGTACCATATGAGTTTTCAGTTTCATTAGTGGAATACACTAAATATGATCATGGCTCTCTGTCACTCAATTATGCATTTTTTCTCTACATGCAATTGCTATAATTGAACCTCAGTATTATGTGTCTGTCATACCTGTCACTGTTTTCAGGATATTCAGAGTTCAGAACTCTTCAGCACTGCACCAGCTTGTCAGAAGCAGACCGTTGTCTCCCTGTTCAGGTGGGATAATGGCTTTGTGTTGCTTGCCTTTTCAATGAGATGTTCACATGCAGTTGCTGATCTGGTTAGGTCTGTCAGTTTCTGGAGAGTTTGGGTTTTTGGGGGGATTTTTTGACTACTTTTATTTTACCCTTCCTTTAACAGGTCCTCCAAAAAGAAAAATGCCATTTGTTTCCTTAGCTAGTGTTACGACTTGAGCATGGCTCTGTATGTGTTCCTGTAGACTGCTGCTTTTCAAGCTGCTCTGTTGTAGTTCTTGGCTGAGAGAGAGAATCCTGTTCTCTTATTTCAATACAGAAAGGGAGACACCGTGGCATAAAATATGGTGAGCCCTATCATTGTTCCCTGAAGCACATCTACTCAAAGATATTTCATCAAGTTGTTAGGTGATAAGATTTGGACCTAAAAGGTCCAGAACATTCTGGCCCTGATCCAGAGAAGCACTTAGGCATTAGAGTACTCTTTCTGAATTCAGTGGCACTACTAATGTCCTTATAGTTACACAGGCATAAGTGTTATGGTGGATCAGAGCCAGAATATTCAGGACCTTGCAGAATTAAAGCCCAAGGTCTTTATCACTCAATAAAATTACTCTTATATTCCAGGAAGGGACACGTAAGACAGCAGAGCTGAATGATGGTCTTACTGGGAGTTGATGTTGGTAGAGCGTAGTTTTAATATACAATTCTAACTTAAGTTCCACTCCATGCCTTATTGGTCCCAGATTCATGGAGTGTCATGTACTGGAGTTAAACTGGCAGGACTATCTTTTAATATATTTCTTTGATGTCCTTAAACATCAATATTTAGACCCAGGCAAAAACTCCCTCTGAGTGCCTGTATAAATCAATTACAGAGAGAAAGAAATAATAAAATATTTTTATATTAGTACTTTTGTTGTAGGGGTGTTTTATGGAATGTTCTACCATGCTTATAGGACCCAGTACTTTGCCATTTTGAAATGACTGCAGAATATTCTATTCCCAAATTTGTCTGAGGAACACAAACAAAGTAAAATGGCAGTGTTTAATTTTAATCTAACTCCCTGGCATCTTATCATTTTACTTACTATGCTAGCTAAAACTTTAACAAAGCTAATTGTTAGGGAATTCTAAAACAAGGTTTTTCCCCATTTAACATGGGGGAGCCCCTCATCTTAGAACTGAGTAGGAGGGCATGGGGAGAGCAGGTGGCTGCTGTGACTCAGGCTCCAGCTCCTTCCTGGGGTCGGGGCTGTAGCCCCAGCTGCTGCCTGCCCCCCTCCTCCTATCCACCTCTGTACCCCACCATCTTCCCCCCTACTCCTTCATGCAGCCTCTGTTCCCCACCTGTACCTCTTCCTCCCTGCTTCCCCATCTCCCCATGGGTGCCAGCAGGCTCTGTTCCCGTTCTAGCCCGGGATACTGAGCATGGCCTTAGCCAGCCCCCCAAGAAGTTGTGCATGCCCAGAATTTGCAAATATATGCCTCTGATGGAAATACGTAATACTAATGTGGGTCAAGCCTAAGGAGGCAAGTTTTCTTTTAATAAGAATAAAACAAAAAGCCTGAATAAGTGGCATTAAATCACCTGAAGTGCTTGCTAAAGCTATCATATATGTATAACTGTTTCCCAGTTCATTGGATTCAGGTGCTTCATTTGATAAGTTTACCTGCTGGCTTCCTAGAATCAGCTTGGATGAGGGCAGTCTGTCTGAGAGTTAATCCAAATAGACAGAAATCATGCTTATTGGCTAGGAAAACAAGCAGAAAAATGACATTTAATAGTATCAGTTTCCTTCCGCTTAATGGCATTTCATCTTACTGCATTCTCAGCGGCTTCTAGATAGACACAGCAGGAAGGAATGTTTTGTCATACATACCAGGTCAGGAAATTGTGACCTTTTTCTTGGCATGCAAACCTTAACACAGAAATTTACATCTCTGTCACTTCTAGATTAGATTACCTAAATATCATCTATGCTTTAATGCCACCAAGAAATTGAAACTAGTGTAGAATGTGGCAGCTTGAGGGCTTAGTAGCAGTGCTTACAGAGAGAATCCAACATCTGTGCAACATCATTATATGGCTTCAAGTTAATTTCCAGAAGCAATTTAGTATGTTGGTTTTGATCCATAAAGCTCTGGAAAATGAAGTCAGTTGATATACTTTAACAGTTCAGTGAGAAAGGGGTTGTAGACAGGAATATTCAATGATAAATCTACAGATCTGAAATACGTTTTCCCTCGTCGATATACCTGCACCCAGATTTGCTGACCATTAAATTGCAATGCAGAATTCAGCTCTTCTTCCATGCTTTTTCTAAGAAAATAGGCTGCATTGGACTGTAAAGTTGCCCTAGTCTGGGTACATTTAGAACATTTTTATCTTAATTTGTATGTTTAATATTTTTGTCTGGAGCTGCATCTGAATCTAAAGACATTCCAAAGATTATCAGAATTTCCATTACAGAAAAACAGAAGTAGAAATTAAGCCCGAAAAGCATCTATCGGGATCACGAAGGGGGTTATTTTGGGGTTGGTGGTTGTTTACACAGCCTCGGAGAAACCCTGAGACTGATGGAAATGCAGGTAAACACATCTGGTTTAATGTTAGGACAAGCCAGCTCGTTACTCCCAAATTCTCTACATATTAGGCTTTAATGGATTCTAGGGAGTTTATATACTGCATGTGCAATAACAGGTAAGAAATGTTCCCTGAAGACACAAGCTACTAATTATCCTACAATTTAATTTTTCTGCCCTAAGCCAAGGAATTTGAGAGTGGTATGTGCCAATGTTTTGTCCTTGCTAGAAGCCTAATCTCTTGTCCCATTATTCAAATTCCTCACCTTCAGTTTAGCTCAAGACTTGTTTTTCCCCTCTTCATTTTTATTCATTGTCAAATAAAGGCTGACTAGTTAATTGAACTAGTGCAAACAACACTGATGAAGAAATCTCATTACGCAGGAGACATACTTGTTGCATTTTTCTGTTATGTGTTTCTATGACACCCTTTAGAAATGTGTGTTTTAGCATTCAATACAAAAATGAAAATTCTACGTCTTCCTCACATTTATAACCATTGAGCTTAAACTGTTTTGTTCTTTTCAAACCAGTCACTTTATGTGTTTGCCTTTGTTAACTTTATTGAATAAAATACTAATTGCAGAATATCCGTTCATTTATTATTTACATAAAATGCTTATAGATTTTTCCAAAGGAATATGAATAACTTCAGTAATAAATCCTGACTCTCTGCATATGATAAAAAAATTAATAAAATGTAAGTACAAAGTTCTTCTCAAATAAAAATGAATTGCACAGAATATGTCCAGATATGGTTTTGGAAAACAAACAAGATTCTAGATTTGGATCTCTCAGCAATTTTACATCATTGTAGGTACTGACTTCAGTGAAATTCTTCCCTATTTTACATCGCTATGGCTGTATCTACACATGCGCTTTACTGCAGAGTAGACTAATTAGGTGCAGAGTAAAGTGTCACCATCTACACGTGCAACAGTATTAAGCCACAGTAAACTAATTAATACTGCCATAAGATAGTTCTGTCCCCCACAATACTATCTCACGGCTGAGTAATTAACTGTGACTAAACTCATGTGTAGATGCTGGCCATGGGCATAAGTTGTACCCAGACAGCAGGGAGCTAGACTCCTGCCTGCTGCCTAGCCACACAGTTCCATACTTTCAGCACCCTCCTGCCCCAGCTGGCTCTTCCACTGCCTGTCATTGCCACCCAGAACCCAGGGCAGAAGAGGCCCTGGCATAAACTGCACCCCAGTTCAAAGTGCTGCTGTTCCAGGTGCATGTGTAGACTCTGTTCCTGGGAGTAATTTACTCCAGTTCTAATTGCTCCGGAATTTAGTCCTTCGAATTAATTGCACATGTAGACATCCTGTGTGATCATAATGAGGTGTGCAGTTTTATAATTACCAGATGTTTGTAATCCTATTATACATAACAATCTAGATTTCCCTGTTGCCTTAAATCCACTAGATGCTAGAAAGACATTTGCCCAGCTTCAGTGGAGATGTGTTATATAGTTAAAAAATGTGTTAGGCAAAATATGCTCTGTCACCTACTAGTGCTGCCATGAGAATTTCAGTTAATTTTATAGATTGAGACAAATTATTAGAGGATTCTGAGAAATATTTTCTCTCATTCTTTTTAGGTCATCCTAAAATTTGCTGATTAAAAAAATCATATTAAACTTTATATGCAAAGAATACAAGGATTAAACTATTTTTTCAGTTAACATACACGAGAAATCCTTCTGTTTTCTAGTCAGCACCTTACCTTGTGTTCTCAATCTTAATACTTGCATTTAAGAAACATCTTCATTAAGACAGACTGTATAAGTGGACAAGGGTGTAGCAAGAACAATATAATAATTTGTTTCTATGTGTTTAGTAAAATCTGGGTTCTATCAGGAGCTTTATATAAAAATGTTGTCAGGACCCAGAACTCCTTGCGTTTTAAAGTGTTTGTAGCATCTAACCTCTGTGTATGAAACATTCGAATAACATCATTATGTTTACAGTATAAAAACCGAAATAGAAAATGGTTCTATGGAGTTAAAATCGTATTAACTTTTTAAAGGTCTTACTCTTTAAAATGGCTGTCTTTCTGCTGCCAGTGCCTCTTGGCCGAAGTTCATGTTTACTGAATGATCCTCAAAGCTGGACAGAATGATTCTGTCCTCTGGCATAACCCATCTATCTAGCTTGGCTCAGCTTTGGAATAAGACAGGGAAAGGTTTTCTAAAGGAGATTAACAGTTGGCTCTTGCCAAGAGAGTAATATCTCCCAAACAAGCACCTGTCCTAGAACCTGTGCTCCCACCCCAGCCAAGGAGTGGAGGGCTGGGAGAAGCAGTGGAGCCACAGGCACAGCTCCTACCTGCCTGGCCCCAGTGTGGAACCTTTTCCCACCCCCAGCCACACCCCGCTGCTAACACACCACAGAAGCTATCTAGTCTGCGTCACACCAGAGCTGGGTTGTTCCAGACGATGTCTTGAAAAGGTTGCAGGCTACTGAGGTAGGGAGTGCATTGAACGACAATGCAAAATCTCTGTTACTTGAATAATGCTGAATTAAATTAGATCAGCAGCCACACTCATCCAAGCTGCTAGGAGATTCCTAAAATTTAAGGATTCCTGAATTTTTGTGGAAGCCCCTCTGAAGACCTGGTAGCTGCTTAAGCAGCCAAGTGTTTCCATAGCATCAACTGCTTGGTTCCTTCCACAATTGGCTGGTGTAAGTTGTCCCAACTAATGATATTAAGGCAGGTGTATACAGAAGCTCTGCCACTGGTAATTTCAGACGCGTTGGATATACTTGTTTCTTTCTTGATAGTGCCACTGACACTTGGCTAACTACAATACCCACTTCCTTCTCTTCCTCTAGCATTGCTAATCTTGATAATGGTGAGGAAAAACTCTTTGTGTTAATTTAGGCCTGGAAAACTTAATCATTGCCAGAGTCATTGGAACTTCATCTACAGCTGAACCAGCATAGCCAATATGTGAAAAGGCCTATCCTTTGAGGTGTCACTTCCAGTTGGGTAACAGGTGTCTTCTTAGTGAGAATGATTAACACAAGAACACAGAGAAGGTAAAATTCCAGGCTGCTAAAATGCTGAATAGCCCAGGACATTTCTCTGCTTATACTCTGGTAAAGCACCACAGTGGTATACTCCTACACCTGGTAGAGTTGTCTTCACTTCTGTTGACTGAGGATCCCAGCTTGTTTCTGTATTTGTAATTGCTGAAATGCTGTCTCAATAAAGGATGAGATTTTCTTTTATGAGTCTGGTATCAGCAGTTGCTTTGGCCATGAGCTCTAACCAGTTCCTGTGACATTCATCTCTTTACCCCTTGGAAATCTCTCTACACTTGGTTCATCAGTCTAAATTGGTATCCGTTTCTGGAAGGAAATACTGATTCACTGATCAGTGATTCTTTGTGATGCAGTTAAGAGGGGAGGAGGAAGAGAACTAAACCTTGCAAAGCTTTACCCACAGCCAGTTGTGATCCAAGGTGTCTAGAACTTCTTAATGTGATCATTCTTTATTTTATGCATCATTCAGCAGTGAAAATTATATTGTATTTTTTGTGCTACTGGTCTTCAAAGTCAACAACCCTACTAGCCCACTTAGAGTGCATTGTGTAAGTTTATGCATGGTTCATAGTAGAAAGGTCACTGATACAACCATTAGGACTAGACATGCAAGCACCATATTTACCCAAATCCAAGATGACTTGGGATTTAAGATGATCCCCTTGATAATTAGATTATATACATAGAAAATTATAGATTTGTTGTGATTTTCCATGTATAGAATCTACGTAGCAAAAAGTCATCTTTGTCCCCCACCTAACTGCTGTGGCAAGGAAAGCAGTGGTTGAGGTGAGGGACTAGCCCCTGCCTCTTGCTTCCCTGCCTCTTTTCCCCTCTATGTCTGTCTCTCCTGCTGCCTGCTCCTCTGTGCTTACCTGCCCACTGCTACCTGCTCCATATCCCTTAGCCCCCATGGTTGTGCCTGCCCCCCACCTCCCTGCTTCCCTGGTCCTTTGTTCCCCTCTTCAGCCTGCCCCTATGCCTACCATCCACCCACCTTACCTCCTGCTGCAGCTCTGCTCCTCCAGGGCAGTCAGCAGGAGTGCAGCCCCAGCCTGGCCAGGGAGAAGCAGGGCCAGGTCAGCGCTAGAAGGAATGGAGCTGGAGCAGAAAGGAAGGGAGGTCGGGAGAAGCTGGGGGGAGAGGAATATGAGGTGCAGGGCAGGCACAGGCACAGAGGTCGAGGGGGAAGGCTGCAGGTTCCCCCTCTCCCCCCAGATTCAGCAGTCTTCCCTCCACTTGTGTGCCCCCTCCCCCACCAAAGGAGCCTTTCCAGCCTGGGGCAAGCCACAGCTCAGCTTCAGCTTCAGTCCAGGGCCAAAGTCTGCCATGGACTGGTACTCAAATCCAAGACAAGGCTATTTTCCCCCCGTGCTGATTGTGGGGGTGGGGAACCTCATCGTAGATTTGATTAAATATGGTATTTTTCATAGATTTCATAGACGTTAGGGCTGGAAGGGACCTCGGAAGATTATCGAGTCCAGCCCCCTGCCCAAGGGGCAGGAAGTCAGCTGTGGTCATAGGATCCCTTCAAGATAAACATCCAATTTTCTCTTGAAGGTGTTCAATGTAGGTGCTTGAACCACCTCTGATGGCAGGCTATTCCAGACCTTGGGAGCTTGGACAGTAAAGAAATTCTTCCTTATGTCCAGCCTGAAACAGTCTTGCAGTAGTTTATAATCATTCGACCTCGTCACCCCTTGGGGCGCTGGTGAACAAACATTCCCCCAGATACTGGTGGTCACCCCTGATAAACTTATAGGTGGCCATCAGATTCACCCCTGAGCCAAGTACAAGGGGAGAATGATGTCCTGGGATTTGCTTGAGAAGCATCTATGGATGCAAGCCAGCGTTTTGGTCGCTTTACTAGCTACAGCATCGCATTGCTGGCTCTTGTCCATCTTGTGGTCAATGATGACCCCCAAGTCTTTTTCTTCCGTAGTGCTAGCCAGCATAGCACTGCCGAGCCTATAAGGATGCTGCAGGTTTTTCCTCCCAAGGTGGAGAACCTTGTATTTGTTTCCTCCCAAGGTGGAGCAGGCCTGCCACAAGCTAAGCCCCACACCTTCCCTGAGTGCCACTCTGTTCTGCTTTCCCTGCCTGATCTGCTGCTGTGCTCCCTGCTCCTTCCTCAGTTTGCCATGTGTGTCACACACACAGGCTCCCTTGCCATTTGCAAGTTGATCACCCCCTAAGATTTTACACAATTCTGCCCCAACATAGCTATGTTAGCAACACTTGTACTATAGAGCAAACCTTACATTTGCATCTCTGAAGAATTTATGCTTGGCCACACGATGGCAGCATTCACTCATGTTTGAAACAGAAGAGCCCAAATCTAGCAGTACAATACAGGTTTCAGTAGAACCTATGATAGACATAAGGATAAAGAAATCCGTTTATGATAGTGGTTCAGTATATTATGAAATCGCAAACAGTGGATATACGCATTTATGTGTGTACATATAAAAACTATTTTTGATAGTGTTGACATGACATTTAAGCTGTGATGGCTCAGGAATAATGCAAGAGGCAAGGATTTTGGGGGGCGATATCTTTGATTAGACCAATTGCATGGTTGGAATAAACTCAGACAAGTTTTGATTGCTGGGCATTCTTCAAGTCACTCAGTACAGACCTGATGAATGCCTTGCATTCAAAAG